GCAACCAATGGGTGCATTCAGTACCACGACCGCTCACTGAGCGCTTAGTGAGCTCTTGTATCTGTTTGGTCTATATTTTTAGTTCTAACGGAATATACTAATAAGATGCAAGCACTCATTGAGCGCTCAGTGAGCGGTTATAGTACTAAATGCACCCAATCAGAAAACAGGATTCCAATGAATTTTGCTTCGTAATATCGGAATCCTATTTTCTGATTGAATGGCTGCGTTCAGCAGACTCAACAGTTTTGCAACCGTTTTATGATTGTCTGCTGAGATAGGACCATTCTTCTAGATCTAAAAGTATGATCCAATTAGCGCGAAGGAAACTTCCAACAGTTGCAAAACGAACGTTCTGCTGAACGCAGCCAATGCGGAGCGTCGTACGACGAAAATCGGATGCAGTGTGAATCCAGCATTACACCGTGCCCTTGCTCTATCGGTGTGTGTGTGTTGGTATCACTGGAGAGATCCAAGAACGTTTAAAAATGTACCTTTAATCTGTTAACAGTTAAATAGTTAATACATTAGCCATTTTTTGATCGAACTTCTCAACGGATCTCTTTGAGCGACGATTCCGGAATAGCTCGGACCTGGGAGTCCAGACCGGACTTTCTCCCGGACACTCCCAGAAAATTGAACGTGATTGAACGCACACGTCGAGATAATTGATGACGCCGAGTACATTCCACAGATTTGATTGAATCGTGCGTCGAGGGCGGTTTAATCAATCTTAAGTATTCTGGAGGTAAGCTCACCATGCGATTCTTACTAGCCTTTAACCTTTCTATCCAACTTTTTCAACATTTCCATGGATGTGCGCGTATAATCGATAGTTATTATCGTCTCTTGCTTCCTCGTCACGTTTTTACTTGAAACGACTCGTACGAAGGAGAGCGACACGCCATTCTTAATGTATGAAATGAAATCGCGGAGTCATTCCAGATTGGCTCATCCGTGAATTAATTATGATTAATTATTATCTGATATAATATAAATTAATAATTTATATTATATTAGAATATAAGTCAAATTCGCTAATATAATTTGTATTATATTGGATTAGTACATACTAAAAACGACTACATGTGCACAGAATAAAAGACTATTCTTAAAAAAAACTATTCTTAAAAATCAATCTTAGGCCGGAATCAGACTACGCATTGAAGATTGAGATTGAAGATTGAAGATTAAAATTTGACCAGTGAGGACAAAGAAATTTTAGCTCCTATTGTTTTGATCGGTCAAATTCCAATCTTTCAATCTTCAATCTCAATATGCTTAGTTTGATTCCGGCCTTAATGTACTCATATATAAGCAGAAATATTAAGCTTGTTCTTTTTAGCTAAACTTTTTGCTCAGTTAATCTTCTTTTCTTTCCATGATGAAAAAAAAGGAAAAAGATGAACTGTGCAAGAAGTTCAGTTAAAAAGAACAGATCTATTATAATCTTACTCTTCAAATATTTTAATCTTGATTTAATTGAATTTGTGTTGATGTAAGTATTACTTTGTATTCAATTCAGGACTTGCTCAATTAAAAATTATATATGAATACAAGTTCAATCAAGACAAATATTTTTGAAATCAAATTATAATATTTTTGCTTACATATAAGCGTACTATGACTAATTTAAGAATAGTCTTTTTTTTGTCTGTGTGAAATTAGCAAAGTTAAATGTAAAAACATAAATAATTTATTCGATTAAGTATCCGATTAAGTATTGATTAAGTATTCGATTAAGTATCAATAATGATATTGTCATATTGTTTAATAGAACATACATCTATTGTTTCATTGTCACAGTTGAATATTATGCCATTTAGATAGTTTATATAAAGCAGTCTTTTTAATGCATACTAATCCAGTATACGATCATAGTGTGAATTCTGTTGGATGCGCTAGTGTGCACTAGTGCATATTAAAGCCATTATTGTACATTGATTTAATCTAAACATAAAAGTAAAATGCAAATATTTTGAATTATACAGATTTTACTTAACTGCACAATAAAATATAAAATTAAGAATCTCATGATTTAACTTGATTTTATATGTATTATATATCAAATTATACACATTGTTACACCAATTTGTGTATAATGGTCTTAATATGCACTGAGTGCGTCCAATCAAATTTGTTATCAAATTCACTATATGATACATTGTACATGAGATCCATTACATAATGCTAAATTTATTTTTAATACATGCATATGTTATCTACTCTTGCTTAACACTTTGACTACCATATCATTTATATGTACATATTTGGGTTATATATGTAAAATTCACAAGAATCCCACTTAGTTATGAATGACTTTTATTTATCCGATTAATGACTATTTCTATTAATGCAAATTAACTTTAATCTCAATTTAATTAAATTTTTTTACCTTTTTCTATAGTTCTGAGAATCAGAAAGATTAAATCGAACAAATTAAATCGAACAAATTAAATCGAGATCAAAGTTAATCTATATTGGTAGAAATGAACATCAGATTGGTTTTAATAAGTATTTTAAAAAAATGATATGGTTCTACTAATGTAAGACAACTTTAATTTTGGTTTAATTTACTCTTTACCTTCTTCTAATTCTAAGAATTTGAAAAAGATACAGTAAATTAAACTGAGATTAAAGTTAATCTTACATTGGTGGAATAAGAATTAAGCCATTAAAAAAGAATTAGAAATTATATTAAGATATTTGAAAAACAATAAAGTAATAAAATAGTACACTAGATTTATTAAACTCAATGCTAAAAAATCAGTCAGTGTTAATAACGAAAAAGATGAGTGCAAAAGATATTTACAGCGAAAAGTAAGATATGAGAGGCTGTGCTACGTGTATGAAAAAACTTTTATTTGTATTGCTTTGCGATTTCCGAGCTGATTATGTTTACATCGTGCACTTAGTTAACAACCTATACGATAGGTGTTTTTGTTTAACTTACAGGATAAACAAGGACACCTATTGTATAGCCTGCGGCCTAAATGCACAGTGGCTACGTTTACACCGTGCGCTTAGTCCGCGACCTATACGATAGGTGTCTTTGTTTAATATACAGGATAAACAAAGGCATCTATTGTATAGGCCGCGGCCTAAATGCACAGTGTAAACGTAGCCAGTGTAAATGTAGCCATTAATATTTCTTTGGAATGAAAGTGCAATAAAAAAGGAGCGAGAGTCTGAGAGTGCAAAGTTCATGCATCAAAATATAATCATGACTTGTCACAGGATTTTGTATTATATAATTTATTACATCTTATATACATATTTATTAAAGATCTTTTTTTACATGAATCTAAATACACACATACACATGTATTACATGCATATACATTTAAAACCATAATCTCTAATATTATACAATTTTGTAATGTAATTCCATGTTTATTGTTCATTTCTTGATACTTACAGATAATTCAGAAACTCTTACACCATGGTTAACGTTAATACAAGAGTATTCTTTGACGTTGAGGTCGGTGGACTGCCTATGGGCAGAGTAGTCTTTGAGCTATTTTCAGACACTTGTCCCATAACGTGTGAGAATTTTCGTGCGTTATGTACCGGAGAAAAAGGACTTGGGAAAACGACAAACAAATCGTTGCATTATAAAGGCATCGTTTTTCATCGGGTCGTAAAGGATTTTATGATTCAAGGAGGAGATTTCTCGATAGGCAATGGAACAGGTGGCGAGTCGATTTACGGTGGTACATTTGCAGGTAAATATATAAGATTCTAGTTTTACAGAAGCTTCATTCAGTATATTAATTTAAAGAGAAAAAGTATGACTGTAAAAATCTGCCTTCTTAACAATCATCAATTCTTTTCACAGATGAAAACTTTATTATGAAACATAACAAGCCATTCTTGTTGTCAATGGCGAATCGTGGTAGAGATACCAATGGTTCACAATTTTTCATGTAAGTACATTAAGATAATATGTAAAGTTACTATTCTCTATAGAATTGATAAGTGCATGCACGTATAAATTTTACAATCTGTAAGTTTAATGATATATTACAAAGGTAAATTGGAACTCTAAGGTAAATATTATCACATTATGTTGTTACTTATATATGCGGCAAAATCTTACAGGTATCTTTAGCAAGCAAGATATTACAACACGGTTATTATGTGGTTTCTTTATATAGATATATTTCTTTTTATAGAATAATTTTCTGAATTTATCTTCTCTCTATTAATAATTGGGCGTTTTATATAAATCATGGTAAATAAAGTTAATACGACATTTATACATATTTATTCACGTTTCCCAAAAATTTGTCTACTTGAATACATATAAATGTGGGAAATTCAAGTAATATGAGGCTAATTTCCAATTATATTTTCCAAACATGATCGACATATTTAATTGCATGGTATAAAAGCAAGTTTTAATTTTACACGAATGTACAATATTACTCCCATAATATTTATGCGGCGAACTCACGGCAAATGTTGAAAAAAACACAGGAGTAAGAATCATTCTGGAGGAATGAATAACTTAGCGATATTTTTGCGTAGTCGTGAGGGGGTCTGCACATCACTACTACAACACAATGACCAATGAAAGCTCTGGCTCTTTCTGTTCATCTCTCATCCCCTTAATCATATTTTGTTGTTGTAGTACAACACAACCAGCGCCTCACCTCGACAAGTGAGTATAAATTAATACATATTGATCCTGAGATATTCTGTTTTAACTGATCATTAAAAAATAATTCAAGCTTGCTTTGTTTAAAAGCCTGTTTGTCTATATGAAAATGTCTTTTTGTTTTCAGTGTCCATGTGGTTTTTGGAGAAGTAGTGTCTGGGCAAGAGATCATTACGCATATTGAAGGCCTTCCAGTAGACCGAATGTCACGTCCATTGCAAGATGCTAAGGTTGTAAACTGTGGCGAATTAGTCTTGAAGATCAAAAGTAAAGGTATAATTGTTTTCTATTTTTCAAATATAGAAAGTCAAATACATTATATCTATGTCGTAATATGTATATGTTTGCAGCGAAAAAACGAGAAGCGAAGCAAAGTAGTTCGGTGGACTCAGAGTCTGACTCTTATGCCGACAAGTCGAAGAAGAAAAAGAAAAACAAGAAAAGGTATGTAAAGTGTATGATCGGATATTCAATATTGCAATAATCTTGTTACACACTATCTTGTTCCAGTAAAAAAAGAGCAAAGTCGGAAGAAGGTGAGATTCGGGATTCTGAGGAAGACGATGGGCAACCTCATCCATTAGTATCCGTAACCAAAATTGATCCCGACGAAATTCCAGAAGTACCAGCAAATAAATTTTTATATAGAGCAGGGTCCACCAATAATGCAAATCAGAAGGAATTTAGACAGCATTATGGAAGAGATCGTGTACGATCTCATAGAAAGACCGGTCGTATTTTCAAGGGTAGAGGAATATTCGTAAGTGATTAATATAAATTGTCATGTTATTGAGGCTCCTGAGTAGTATCACCATATTGAATCGTGACATCAGAAGTAAGAAATGACATGTTAATTTTTGTTGCGTGCCATTTAAATAAAGACAATTTGGATAAAAGAAAATGATGAGATCACTTTTTATGATTATTTATCGTACAAATGGATTATCAAGGAAGGATAAGCATAGTTTTTGTCCATTTTTACAATTGTTTTAAAGGAATCTCATCATTTCATTTTATCCAAATTGTCTTTATTTACAAATGGCACGGAATAAAAATTAACGCGTCATTTTTCGCTTCTGACATCACGATTCAATTTGGTGACTGACTACTCAGGAATCTTCAAAAATCACGGTTATCCAATTCGTTAATTGCGATATAATCAACAAACAGATAAGGATACGGCGTCAGGTTAATTCAACTGATTTGTCTTTTGATTTTGTCCATTATTACTAACTTTACATAATTACGGATGCATATTTATATAAATTTCCAGCGATATCATACTCCTTCTCGAAGTCGTTCCAAAAGTATGACACCACCTCATTGGAAGCAAGCTCAAAATCGTACTATCAAATTGCACGAATTTCAGGTATATTTTAGTATCTATATTGCTCAATTCCTACAACAAAACAACAGTTTGCTTAAAAAAAAGTTTTCCAGAAAACGAATCTCAATCAATATTTTTTTCAATCATTAAAATTTTATATTAATTTTGAAATGCAATTTTGGTATAATAATTGATTGTAGAGGAGTAATTGTATTTTCTTGTTTAAAGTATGTCCCTTTTTTCTTTATATTTCTACTCTTTTTCTGCAAGCAACTAAAAAAAAGGATCATTTTTTAGTTATGTAATAATTGAGCGATTTGTCAAAAATGTATAACTGTTTTATGCGTTGTTTCATATTACAGAAAATAGAAAAAGAGCGTCTCAAGAAAGAAGAAGAGTTCAAACAACGTGAAATTGACAGAATTAAAAGATTCGTAGAGAATCCCAATGAAAATGATCAATTGCCAGATCTAGATAACAATATATGCACAACGAAATTAATGGAGAATAAAGAGAACGATCAAGCAGAACCAGCAATTATGACTAAAATGACGCAGGATAATACTGTGAAGAGAAACGCGGAGGGGAATGACGTTATGCAGAACAAGGAGGAGATTAAGCATAGCAAATATGAGAAGTTCAAACGTGATGCTAACCGTTCTTACAATGATAGAAACTCTCGGCGTAATTCTAAGGATACTAACAGAAGACGCGAACGCTCTCGATCAAGAGATCGTCGAAGATCCAGAGAGAGAGATTATGATCGTAGAGCAAGTCGTGATAGAAGAAATCGGAGAAATTATTCTCCTCGAAGGCGAGATTCTTACAGAATCAACAGACCCGGAAGAGATAATAGGCACTATGATAAGCGCAATGATCGACGTCGGAATAATTTGAATTCCCATCAGGACAATGATATAAACTTCCGTTATGACAAGAACAAGTATAAAAGGAACGATAATGTATCAGACACGAACCAGGCAAAATTTAAACGCCGTTCACAGTCAAACAGCTCCAGTAGTCGGCACTCCAAAGATTAATCCGCATCGTTTCACGTCCTTTTTTTCGCTTATTGACACCAATGAAATACTATTAAAGTAAAATCTGTGACTTATTTAAAATAAATATTTGTACGATTAGTTTATAATGCAGTATTTTTTATCAGATATTTCATAAATAAGCATATACAATAATATATATTTCTGCGGTCCACACAATAGACCTGTTTTTTAATCGCCGCATTGGTGAACTGCACTAAAACTTTTTTTTTCTCTTTCACCAAACATCAAATATATGTTAATTATTTTAAGTATGAGTGACACTAGTTCATATAAAGAATAGATTTAATAAAGTGTGTGTGTCGTAATCAGACTAGAGAATGATGATGAATTCGGCACACTGACTCTGCTTTGGTATCCTGACATGATGCGAGTACAAAACCACTTTGGTGCTATGCCACTCTGCACTGTCAGAAACGTCAGTACAACATTTCTTGAACTCTGTTCATTCATTCAGTTGATTCGAATATAAATTCAATACTATACTGGGTCGGTTTTCATTTGCCAAATACGACAATCTGAGACCCTATTTTTCTGAGACCCGAGCACATACGAAAATGACAGTTTCTCGATTGTGATTGATTGATTGATTGTGATTGTACACAGAATTGCTATTTTTGTATGTGGTATTTGTTCAAGAATAGGGTCCCTGATACAGTGCGCATAAGCCAAATATGTGGTTGAAAAAGTTCACACTCAGTGCACACTAATGCAGTCTGCTGAATTCTATGAGATTGAGATTGGTTTTCTTTTTTCCGATTAATTAAATTCCAATCTCGAGTTTTATCATGTATTTCTGCAGAACTGCACTTTTTCCATTATTCATATGCTTATATTATAATTGTGGGGATGTATTTTTAAATATAATTACAATTGTTATAATTATATTTGGATAAAAAGCATAAAATCAATACTGCATTATGTAATCGTCCAAATATTGAAAATCATACAAACGTCTTTTAGATAATCAATTTGGGATATCTCGCCAATGCTACTGAGATTCTAATACTATCGGTGTACAATCATCCAACATATTTGCGAAATGCGAATCAATAATATCAATAATATTGGAGCAATATATCTCGTTTTCCTTTCGATTACATATTTGTGACTGATGCACATGCTTTATCATTGAAATGTACAATAAGATTTATCTACAACATTTACATACTTTTATGTCTATTTTTCGCATCTCTATTTCTTTTCTATGTTAGATATATACAGAGTATCCCATTTTAAATAATGCATTAAGATTTCTCGAAAACTATGATAGATACGGAAAAATGTTTCAAACAAAAGTTGTATGATTCGGAGGGGGACATAAGAAGATAACATTGATTTGGGTGGCGTCGTTAAGGTCAAGATCAAATTGATTTTTTTAATGGAATAACTTACTTTTGATGCCAGAATTTGATAGCTGATGTCAAGAGCTTTTCAAAACACTATAATAAAGTTATTTTTCATTAAATACTTTCCAAGTTATAAGGCTTGAAAGTTACAATGCCGCCGGCATTAGCATTACGCAAGGTGTTCGATCGACGATTATTCCTCTATTTTCATTTTTGCACTAACAATAAGAATTCATTTTTACGTAAAAATAAAAATAAGAGATATAACCTCCAATGACTTGATCTTTGATCTTGACAAATGTTATCCAGGACATGATCCTGAATAACATTAAAGAGATTTTAGCCGTCAATCAGACACCTTGCATATTACTAATGCCGACGGTATTGTAACTTTCAAGCCTTATAACTTGAAAAGTATTTAATAAACAATAACTTTATTATAGTGTTTTGAAAAGCTCTTGACATCAGCTATTAGATTCTGGCATCAAAAGTAGGGTATTCCATTAAAAAAATCAATTTGATCTTGATCTTAACGACGCCACCCAAATCAAACCTTCTTATGTCCCCCTCCGAATCATAGAACTTTTGTTTGAAACATTTTTCTGTATCTATCATAGTTTTCGAGAAATCTCAATGCATTATTTAAAATGGAACACCCTGTATGTATATTGTATTGATAAATATTTTCAAAATATTTCTGTACGAAGTCTCTTCAAGATTTTTCAATATCAATTCCTTTTAGAGTTCACATAGTTCTGTTAAAATGCATGTATACATTTATATACATATACAGGGATGTACAAAACAGGGTGTACAAAAAGTCATAGGGTTTAAAAAGATCTATTTATTACTCCCACATCCGTTTGACTTTGAAAAGTACTTAATGAAAAATGAACAATAATTTTATTGTGTTTTGAAAAGCTCTTGACACCAGCTATTAGATTCTGGCATCAAAAACAGGGTGTCACCGTTAAAAAAAAATTGATTTGACCTTGATCTGACCTTGGCGACGCCACCCAAAGTCAAACTGATGTCTTCTTCTTACTTTAATTAATGACACCTGCCTCTAGGAACAAGCCTTAGAGGTCAATACGGCCAGATCGCGTTTCAAAATAGAATGCACAAAAGCGAGTTTAAATGCTCGTTTAAGATTGGTCACACTTTCCAAAAATGTTGAGATGATGCAACACTCGGACCGAGGCACGTCCGCTCCAGCCGAGCGATCTTTCGAAACTTAGGCTGCGGTCCACTTGACGCTACAAACGCTTCGAAGCATTCTTTGATTAGTCAATTCGTAAAATTCTTTATTCTGATTGGTCGCTCAAACGCTTTGAAGCGTTTGTAGCGTCAAGTGGACCGCAGCCTTAATCAAACGGATGTGATTAGTGAATAGACCTTTTTAAACCCCACAACTTTTATCTGAAACATTTTTCTCAAAAATGCTTATTTTTCAAGATATTTAAGGGGACTTTTTGTACACCTTGTGTATATATATATATATACACATTATATACATATGTGTAAATTTGTAATAAATAAATTACTTATTATACGCGAGTCTCGTATAATAAAAAAGGAATTTTTTTAATAGATTTAATATCCATTATTCCTATATCAGTAAATTTAAATAGTTCTAATTAATATTGTTTCGAATATATACTGTACATTATTTATTGAATATAATCGTTTTAAAAATATTAGCGATATTGCTACAAAAGAGCATCTCCATATTAAAATTTTAGATAAATTTGTAACGTCTTTTTGATTAATGCTCATTGAAATTTAAAAAAATAGATGCTTTATTTAGTATGTATGTAACAATGCTATTTTTTCAATTTGCATCTTATGTCTGAGTATAATTTTATGCAATTATATGCAGTATTATGCAGCGTTTCATTTTAAGTGATATGATCGATTATCTCGCGAATCGATGATTTTATTGAAAAATTTTTCGAATGAAAGTTGCATGGCTTGAAGGGGGACACATGATGGAAATGTGGACTTGAATGACCTTGTCAAAATCAGGTCGAGTTACATTATAGTGTTTTGGAAAGCTCTCGAGATAAGCTACAAAAATATGTAATAAAAAATAGGGGTTTCCATTTAAAAAAACAATAATGACCTCGATTTGATTTTGACGAGATCACTCAAGGTTAAGTCCACATTTCCATCATGTGTCCCCCTTCAAGCCATGCAACTTTCGTTCGAAAAATTTTTCAATAAAATCATCGATTCGCGAGATAATCGATCATATCACTTAAAATGAAACACCCTGTATATATGTATCACATCTATATATCATATGATACATATCATGTATTAGTAAATTATCATATCATATTAATAGTATAATTTATCTTTACTAGGCATGTATATATCCCTGTTTGTATGTATGTAATGCTTAAAGTTGTATCGTTGCTAATCGACGCATTGAAACTTTTCTCTATGTCATCTAGAGGTGAAAATAATTTTTATAGGTTCACTTTATTTTACAAAATATATTTATAAATTGATAATAAGCCCTCTACACAAAATTGATGAAGCGCTTAAGCTTAACGCTTAACAAATTTCAACGATCAATCTGTATTGAATAAAGGATTCGCTGAAACGTGTAACAATTGTAAACATAAACTCCCTTGGATTACACGTAACATCATCATCCAATGTTAATTGCAGATTTTTCTAGAATTTATATATAAAAATGCGTTATATACGATTATACTTTAAATACAGTATATGCCAATACTGCTTGTCTATGTAGTTCACCATGGGTTTTGTCCATGTGGTGGCTGAGTACCATGGTAACGTGGTAACGTAGCGTAACCTCCATATGAAGCTTGAGGCATACTCTGGTATGGATTATATCCAGCTAAAAATCGACAAATTTCACATTCGCTTTTCAATATATCATATATGTATTTATAAATGATAGAACTGAGGTCCCCAAGAATACCTTGCGTAGGATATGGCATTGTAGCATATGGATTGTACGCCGTCGGCATCGGTGGAGGAACGTACGCAGGATACGGTGTTGCTGGCGTAGCACCGTAAGGTACAGGCATACCTCCTTGATGTTGGATCGGATAAGGTAGCTGCGGCGACGGTGCGACTTCCACTGTTGGGTTTATGCCGGGAGGACCTGTAGATAGATGGAGAGAATAGATGAGATTTACTCGCGTTAATAAAATCAATTAACAATAACGGATCCGTACCACTGCTGTGATGAGATGGAATGCTCGGTGTAGCAACGGGACCGGTCTGGCTTAAGTTCGTGGTTAAATCTTTCAAAAGTTCCTCTTTTTCGGTTTTTCGAGCAAAACAGAAGTCGGATATTTTATTTTGGAAAACCACGAGTAACTATCGAGAGAGAAAGAGAGGAGATATATTAGATGATATAGTATTCAACAATAAATAGAAAACTATAATAATAATGATAATAACAATAATAATAATCAAAATTAAATCTTATAGGACCGTATGTCCTATAGAAGAGAAATACAATCTATAAAAATCAATGCATTAATCGGTCTAACTGGATCTTAAGTGTTGTATAATTCTGTGTGAATTTATATACTACACATGTATTGAAAATGCACGCCAAAATAATTTTTCGGTCTTGAAACGCAAACTCTATCGCAGTAATATCACGAGTTAAATACTAGCAATTTGATGCTTTTTCATATCTTAGAACGATCTTATATAATGATAATAATAATAATAATAATAATAATAATAGATACCTG